CCAATTAGTGACCAAGGCAACAAGAACTTTCAGGATTAAAACCAAAGGCCTGAGGGTCTGTGCCTCCCCTCCCCTCCCCTCAACAGCCGTAATGGACCCTCAGATCTCCACAGAGTGGAGGCCTGCAGGGGGGAGGGGACTGACTGGTAGGCAGGGCTGTCAATCCCGTCCCCACCCCCCAAACTTTTCACCACATTGTTTTTTTTAAATGTGCCCCTTCCACTGAAAACTGAACATGACAAATTCTTAAAGTGTCCGGCCAATCAGTCTATGAGCTCACATTCCAGGTGTGGCGATCATCCAATTAGGAATTCCCAATCCCCAGCCAGCTGGAATAAATGCATTAGTGCACGCACAGAGCAAAAACACCGAGCACATTCCCAGCCATACTGTTAACAGCTGCGACCAGTATCACTTTAGTTTATTCACTTCTATTAGGACTTTAACAAAACTGTATGTCAAGCTTGTATGGCTCTACACATAGAAGACTAACTCTCCCACCCCCTTCTCTCAGTGGACTGCCACCTTAAAAATGTGCGGGTCAGCATATAAAAACAGACCCCAGTCAAATTACTGCAGCTGCGTTGTACCTGTGTGGGTAAATGAGAGGCCAGTGCGCGAGGTACTTACTTGCCAATCACCTCGCACAACTCGTACACATCCTCGAACAGCACGTCGTCGTCCGCCATGGTCATTCAGGTAAACGAGGATGCTCTCCTCAAGATATCCCACCCACACCACGGGCTCCGAAGGGATCAATGACAACGTAATTTCTTGCTGAACGGGCTTACACCTGTGCCAGTCCACACACACACTTTGTATTCTTTAAACCCCACAAACACGCACACACGGGCACAATGTGATAAACGGGGAAAAACGAACGTGTGCCCAACTTAGCCGGCTAGCCACATTAGCTGGCGTCCAAGGCTGTCACTCCGCGGCCCCACCTTCTCCTGAGCTACTCTCCTGTAGAAGGGCTAGCCAGCGAGCTAGCTAAACAGTAGCCACCGAGCAGACCCTGGGGCGTGGAGATTTCCTCGCTCGTGTGCAGAAAAACATCCCTCTTTGCATGCCTCAGGTTTGTATCTTTACTGGTGCTTGTCGCCGGGGCACAGGAGTCCCCCCTCAGCAGCATCCGACGGATACCTCCCCTTATCCACCAAGATGCTCCCCTTCGCCGCAAGCTAACGAGACTCTCGGGGAAAAAAAAGAACGGTTTGCTAGCTGGGTTTAAATGTGAGCTTAGTCGTCGCTGAAATCACAGGTTGGCTCCCTCCGTTATTGCGCTGTGCACGCCCAGTGGTATCACAGACAGCTTATCCCAGCGAGGAAGGGGGGGAAAAAAACCGTAACGTGAGCGGGATACAATACGCTTCAGCTTCCCGAGCCCAAATGGAAGACCTTCACATTCATGTCCACGACTGCTCCTGCTGCTACACGCGCCGTCTGTGCTCGAGGGTGTTCAATTAATGTCGTCTTCCAGCACAGCCGAGCCGACGTCCGCCGCTGCTCCAGTTCTTTCGCTGGATCAGATGCAGGCTGGCTGGCTTTGACTGGTTGTTTCTCCGACTTCCAGAAATGCCCGGCTCCTCCCTCCCTGTCTATCGCCCGGGAAACTGTTCCGACCGGAGCCGAAATGGCCAGGGAAAGCGGGCCCCGGATTCCCGTCTTTTTCCTTGCGTCGCTCGAGCCAAGATGGCGTTTTGTGGGGTCCGATTTAGGCGCAGTTTCCTTAATCTCTTCTCCAACCGTTGCATTCAGTGTATCCCGCGCAGGCGTCGACCGTCCAAACCTCATCACCTTACGTCAGCCCCCCCTCCCTTTTCCCCTTCTTCTTCTCTCCATCATTTCGAACAGTTTATTTCTCCATAAATCTCATCTGCCACTAAGGACTCACGCCCCACACCCTGGCTGCCAGCGACGGGATTAAAACCGTATACTTCACAATCGCTGTCTAAGCGTGGGTGACTGCTGTCCTCAGTGTTTCCCAAATTCCCATGGGTCTTTCGGGAGGTTTCTCAGCAAAACTGATGGACAGCATAGCGTTTGCATTATCTCATTAATCTGACAGTGACCGCTAGATTGTGCCACTGATGTGTACTCTAATTCTCCTCTGTGGAATTTAGATAACTAGCGAAAATAAAGGCTTTTTTCAGTTCAAATGGGCATCCTCAGCACTGTAGTTCAAGTATTAACGCGTAATTATCTACTTTCGCGTAAGCTTTTTGCAGGTGCGGGTTCCCCCGGTGCAGACACGTAGGTAAGGTCTCCTCAGGTGTGGAAAGACGGGCGGAGAAGCCCCCTAGAGGTGATGGTAAAAGGCCTGTCTCCCACTGCTCCATTTTGAATACCCTAAATAGACATCGTTCCAAGGAGAAAATGAGGGGGGAAGTGGAATAAATTAATAAATAATTGACAAAATCCAATTTCACTTTTATTGTAAAACAAATCAAAGATGCAAAAAAGGCATCAAATCCCGTTTATTAAAGACGTCCATCTTAATTCACCCTATTTGCACTGGATTTTATATGACGTAGAGAACTGCAAAAATCTTGAATCATTTGGAAAATGTATGCAGTCATTTACTACATGTGTAAGTATATGAGGCAAAGTTAGTACAATAGTAACGAGCTTGTCTATGACGCCATTTCCTTTGTTCTCCACTAGTCCAGTTTCCAAAAAAGCAAACAAAAAAACAGGGACACAGCTGAGATGTGGCAAGTTTTCAGCTAAGAGCCTTTTGGAAACCTCCAGATTGCAAAAACACTATTAAGAGGCATGTGCTATTTCTCATACATTCAACTGAAGAAATTGGAACAAACTGCTTATCAAACCAACAAACAAAAGACATTCCTGTGAAAATAGTCCGGTACAGGGACTAGACTGAAAATGAGTGCAATGGCAGACAAGGTCCAAAAGAAAAAGCCTGGAGAACTATTATTTAAGACCATTTTTAAAGTCTGGCTCCTTGGAAATGTAAAGAAATTTTATATTTAACTTTATCTTTAAAACATATATCTGAGAGATATGTCCTTTTTTTTTTATTTTTTTTTTTTTTTTTTTTTAGAGGGGGTTCCTTCTGTGGAATCAGTTAAAAAGCGAATTTTCTCTTATTTATTCTCCCGTTTTATTTTGTTGTGTTTTTTTGTTTTTTGTTTTGTTTTATATATTGCAGAGCTATGTTTTCCAATTACAAATTACCTTTGCATGAAAGTGGTTACAACTGAGGGTTGAAAAGAAAAAAATAAAAGCGTTTGGGTGAGGTACTTCACTAAAGCAAAATAATGAACTCAGACGGCCAGCCCCCCTCTAGAGGGCGCTGTTCTCACAGGGCACCCTCTGCGGTTTCCATGCCGCTGCATCCTTTCTCCTCGAGCATCACCTGCCAGCTTCCCCCATTGGCTTAAGCCCACCAGCAGCTACCGATAATCCGATTGGCTGCTGATGTGGTCATCATACTGTCTGCTTCTGAACAACCCTCCATTTGATGCACACACACACACACACAGCTCGGGGAAAAAAGTGAGACTGGAAGGAAAGTATGCAATAAAAGGAGAGAGATGAATAGGAAAATGATAAAGGAAAGGGAAAACGGCACACATGACAAAAAGACAAGAGCTCTGTTTCCATAGTAACAAGGAAGGGGATATTTTTTTTATGGTGGTTGCATGTGAAACTGGCAGTTCATGAAAAATGCACATACGCTTATACACTATACATCTGGTTGCACTGACATGCATGAATTCCCTGAAACCATCACTACATATGCAGAGAGACAGTCCTGCACTTAATAGCTTTGACAGAAAAATAACCTTCACCTTTAAATTTCATGTGTACCTGGCACACATTATTTTCAGTCCTGCTGGTTAAACCGTTTTGACTAGCTGTGCTTTTCAGAGAACCTTTTGTTTCTCTCCAGGCTGACATAGATTTATCATCAATAATTTAGACCAAATCAGCTGTATAACATTGTATTACAATCCTGCTCGGTCCTCATGGCATAGAGGTGTAATGTAGAGAATAACGTGCCAAAAAAGATACGAAGGAGGATGCTTCAGCGCAGAAAAAGTGGGACATCAGTCAGCTGAATTAGTGCAAGGGGAAACAGGGAAAACAAGGTTTGGACTGCTTAGACTGCTACATGCTTCCAGCTCCATATTCTTCCCTAGGGAGCAATAACCAGCAAAAGGAGAGGAGTCACTTCAACACAAAGTGCCTTAGAAGTGTTTCCTCCTATAACAGAAACTCAATGGGAAATGGGAAAAGTATAAGAATTCAGGTTTTTCAACTAAGTAAGCTGATATATTTAAAAATATTAATAACAGAATATTTTTCAACATTGCAAAATTACCAGTTTGGCAGAAATTGACATTATAAAGTCACAATATTTCTTCTGTCTTTTCACCTCCTGGTTTTATTTGATCATATTGTGATTCTGAGCTAAATTTCAATGTATTTCCAGATTGTTATCTAATAAATAATTAGATTAGGCCATAAACTGCAAATTCACTGAATCAATATGGCTGCTTTGTGAAAACAATACAAAACAAAATGAAAAAAAAATGTATATATATATAGTTTTTCCACTGCAGCAAATTTTTTAATCTCAAAGAATATATTTTTTCATGTTGTATGTATGTATATATGTATGTATTATATGAATTTAAAATATGTTATGTCTAATATTTTTCTCATCAATATTCAAATAAAAAAAATTGGCTTTTTCCTCAAAGACTGTAAAAATTGCTTTTTTTCCCCTCAGAATATCAGTCACAGCAAGTATTTCGGTAATAAGCCATCAAAGGCTAAATGTAAAAATAAAAAATATACAATTAAAATAATAATAAAATATATAAATATATAAATTATATGTGTGTGTGTAAATTAAAGTAAAAAAAATTAAAACGTTTTAGATTTCGATAAATTGTGAAAGGGGGAAAAAAACTACAAATCCCACTTCTTGTTTGGGTAGATGTGATTGGCTGAGTCTGACCGCGCAGGCTCCTGTGAAAGCGCGATGTTCAAATTTGTTTCCGGTTTTACTTTTAGCCTTTGTCGCTAAGCCAGAGACATGGAGCGACCTCAAAACAGGTAGAAATTTTACCTTTGTCGTTATTACACTATACAAATGCTATTTTCTACAAAGCATTTGCTTTTGCGGCAAGGAAAAATGGCAACAATGTGTCCAACGACGCATTTTGGTTAATTTAACGGCATTTTCCGTCGTTGTCTGTACAACGGAGACCCCACCACCATTCAACATTCAGCAATTAGGTGGTTTAATGTTGTTTTGCATTTAATGAAATGCACGGGCTTGATACAACGTTAAACTTGTCATTTTAGGATTTTTTCACCTCTACTTTTCAGTTCGGCTTCTCTCCTACACATCAAAGAACTGGAATAAATCAAATTTTTACGTTTTGCAGTCGTAGCTCCTTTTTTCATCCTTCAAAATGAAACAAGTGGCAGGGAGTGGGCACTGAAGCTTTTGTGTGTTTAGTTAAGCGCAGTCTGTGTAATGTTTAACTTTAAATGTCACTCCATGGTTTCTAAAAACATGAATGGATTGCCCAAACAGGATCGGGACGATAGTTTGCCTTTTTTTTAATGCTAGCATTAGCCCGCTAGCTCTGCCTCGGTCTTTTTTGACATGTTGCTGCTGTTTTAAAACAGGGGAGCATCTGACCTTTAAAATAAGTCCACATCCGTACAGTCTGTTGAGTATAAATACGTTGTTGACACAGTGGCTATAATGCGTCTATAGTATATTTAGAAATGGTGTTTGTGTATGAAATGAATGGTAATTTGTTTTATGAGTCCAGTAAATTGGGTATTTAAGCACATGAGAAGTGCAGGTTTTGCAAAAGCCTTACTTGTGTTCCTAGTTCAAAGCACAAGTTTAACTGGAGATTGTTGCTTTATGTTTGATTTATTTTTTTAAATTCATGTATTGATTGACTAATTTTTCTTTTCAGTGTGGTGAGGACTCCCATCGAAAGCATTGTGGCTCAGAGGAGGAGCAAAAATAAAAGCTACAGACAGTCATACCGCAGCTGCCTAGGCGCTGCTTCAAGGCTCGGCCACGCCCCAGGATGGACAGCGCGGAGGCTCAACACCAGCAGAAGAACAAAGTCACACAATATCACTGTGAGTCAATGCAAGTTTCTCTTCTAAATATATTAATTATCTGGAGAACAGAACATGGAATCGCCATCCTTTGCATTCTGCTCTTTCCCTGGTAAAGGAGAAGGTGAATCCAGAGGATCTGGCCTTACTGGTGAAGACAGAGTGGCAGCTATCGTACGTTACACCGCTCTACCAGTTCAGACACACCCAGCTCAGGAGCTACTCGAGGCAGCTTTCGGCATTTATTACTGCAGAGAAGCAGCAGGGTTTGGCAGTGGAGGTTGAGGGAGCGCAGACCAGCTTCAGAGTTTCCTTCTCTGTGGTGCAGGGGCTGGGAGAGACGAACGATGATGCTGAGACGGTCCTCGTACAGGTAAGCACAGGAGTTTGTAGAGGCAGGGAGAAGGTTTTCAGGCACAGTATGAGCTGGCTTTACTCTGTCTTCTTTCCCGTCACAGATCCATTCAAAGCCAGTGTTTGCAGGGAAGGATGAGGCGCAGAAGTTGGTGTGGAGCGGCTGGCTGACCTGCATCAATGGCAATCCTGAATATCTTCACTCGCTTCCGAAGGACTTCACCTGTCTGCCGCTCTTTGGCAGCCGTGGGGCTGAGAATCTCACCTCGTTGGTCAAATCCTGGTTTCAGCAGACCTTTGACTGCTGCTTTGGCCCTCTGGAAATCAACCAGACCTTCCTGCAGTGGCTAACGGCATTATGGACTAACTGCCACATAGAGTCCAGCATCCAGCATCTCAAAATGATTTGGACTCTTCCGGTTGAGCCACCGTTGCAGATCACCTACACAGTTAACCCTCAAGATGTGTGGGAGCTGTGGAACAGTGTGAGGACCCCTTCACTGGAGAGCAGGGAGGAGGAGGAGACGGCGAGAAGCATTGACATCGAGGAGGTGACGAGGTTCATGCAGGGCCTAATGAGCCACTTCTACAGGCATTTCAGATTGGACCTGTCAGCAGGACGCCTGAGTCAGGTCTCATCTGCACTGGGATCAGCCAAGTTCAGCGGCAGGGTCAAGGTACTGCCCTCAGAGCTTTATTTATTTTATTTTTTTAATGAAAGAAGAACCTGCTAATAATATTGGTTTACTTTTGTTTCAGATGTCCAACAGCAGATATGTCCTCACAACCCTATCACTGCTGACAGAGTGTGCCCTTCTCAAAATGCCCATCTGAGCACAAAATAATGACTTTGCAGCAAGAGGAAATGCAAATTCTGCAATATCAGTTTGCAAAACCTGTTATGGAATAACAAATATGGCTTTTATTCTTTTCTTTTTTTTTTTTCTTTTATGAGCAAAAACAAACAGTGTAGCCTCTTTACATGAATTCACCACAGGCTAGTGGCTTCTGGCTTTTTTATATTAATTTTTTTCCCCCTTTTCATACTACAGATCTGGGACGTTACAGGAGCTCAGCACAGGGAGGATTGTGCTTGTAATTATGAAAAATTGAGGATAAAATCTGAATGTTTCTTGTCCGCTCACTCAGCTCTTCTTGTAAATACATTGTATGTTTATTCATGTTCATTCACCTCTTTGTATATTTTTGTCATTTATAGTTATAAATAAAAACCAAACAAGTGATATTAAAAAAAAAAAAAGGAAGCAAATTGTCACAACGGAACTAAGCAGATGTTAGATTTCTGTGTGACTGAGAGCTTTGGCTTTTATTGTTAGTAAAGTAACTTTAGGTCAGGGGCTTTGATGTAGCCCCTGACCTAAAGGAGTCAACGCCATTGTCCTGCCCTTTAATCCAACTTAAATCTGCTTGGCTGCTCTTTATAACAGAAAGTTTAAACACCAGGTGGGTGGGGCTTCAGTGCTCACCCGTGATCGTTTTTTAGGAGTTTAAAGTGAAACAAATGTATGAAACTAAATGTAGGAGCAAACAGAGACCTCATTATTTTAAAATGACCATATTTTATCTAAGGACATCATTATTATCCATCTCTGCAGTGCACATATTACACATGCAGGTAAATTAGATATGGCAGAATCTGGCTCCTTTAGAAGGTTAATGAATTTCTTATCAATTATCTTATTTAGTTTAACACCATCAACAATTGCAGTGGGGTGGAGGTGTATTGCGAAGTAGGATTTTATGTAAGTTCTCATGTTTGAACAACTACAAGTGGCACATGGTGAGCAGGACCTTAATAACACCACTGAATAACGCTACAGTCTGCATGCTTGGTCTTAACTAGCTGCCATGTCTGATTTACTCTGCTAATGTTGCTTTATAAAATAATAAAGATTTATCTATATGTTGGCTGTTAATCACCAAGAATATTCAATCTCTAAATTATTTCGCTTTGATATGCCTCTGTACTCTCAGTGGTTCTGTGAATGAAAAAGTGCTAAAATAAATATATTAATGGTAAATTCATAAGATTGTTGCAGCATTCATTACCAGTTCTGATCATCTCTCTTACTGAAGTAGGAAGGTAACAATTTGATGCAAGGCTACAGCAGAGAGCCCGGGTGATAGTGAAAACCACCAACTTGATAAATGCAGTCAAATCTGAGGTTTAAGATTTTATCAATCCAGCTACTGCAAAGACAGAAAGCCAGACTGTTGAGATTGCTTAAAAACAACAAAGGCTAAATGAAAAGCATCCTTTTTTTAATGTTACTATCATTTAAAACAGCATAGGGCAACTTTACTTCAAAGGAGACATAAAACCAGGAAATAAGAGTTATCAAAATCATATTAAATACAAACACAAGCATACAAAATACCAGCTGGATGCAAAAACAAAAAACCAGCTAAAACATTACAGTATATTGCACCAGTAGAAAGGGCAAAAAAACCCAAAACACAATAAGCAACGTGTGATAACTGGACTCCCCTATAGCTGATTAACATGATGAAGCACAACACAGCAGCATCGCTGTTTGTTAATGCTACACACACCATCAAATGCATGACGACAATAGCGGGGGCGTAGGAGTCAAAATTGCAGCTCCATTATGCTATGTAACCACTGGACCAGTGTCTCTTTGGGCATATGGCTTGTGATGGTGGTAATTAGGGCACAGCAGATGCTCGAACCTTCATTTAAGGGCATTGTGGAGCTGGGAATTAGGGAACAAACTGTGGGGGTGGGGGGGTTAATACTTCACAAATTAAACTTACTAATGATGTGTTCTTTATCAGCATGGACTCCAGTTCAGAGTGGAAAATTACCTTTTTACTTTACCCCCCCAGTCAGTGTGACCAACATAACTGGGTTTGCCAGCATGCTTTGAAAGGCATGCGACCCCGACAAACTGTACAGCTATACTAATAATAATTAAAAAAAACAACAACTAGGCACCAGACTGGGGGCTGGTGTTACCTTCCCACTCTGCCGCCTTCCATACTGTTTATATAATATTTACTTGTGTGTATGTGCTTGTGTGCGTGTCTGTTTACAGCTCTGAAAAAGGGGCTTGGCTATATATTTACAATGGCGCCCACATATGCCACAGAATCCACCTGGCAAACACTTGGGACAGTCTCATTTGCACGAGCAAACACAAAAGACACTCCAAGTTTTGTTTGTAGCAGCTTGATGCTTTCGGAAGCATTGTTCACAGTACAATCCGACGGCCCACGATCCTCTTACCAACCCACCACCTCACACACATCCTCTGAAATGAGCACTCGAATGATAATAGCAAGCTAGGATTGATTCAGAACAGGTGGTTTAGTGTTCAACATAATTCCCCATGATCACTTTTGATCAAAACACACATGGAGCAGAGAGGTAAGCGAAGGAAAGTGATGATTCACAGTAAATGGAGATTGTAGTGTGTGCGGCGGCCTTTAGGAGGCCAATCCCAAAAAGAAGCCGCCGACAAACCCGCTGGACAGGACGATGTTCCTCTTTATGAAATCTGTCGCCTGCAGAGGAGAGACGAGGGAAAAGTCAAATCAGAACTAACAAACAAAACAGACCCCAGCACCTCGAAACATCTGATTTGGTTTGCCTTGAGCCTGCAGTGTCACAGCTACTTGGTGTAGTAGCTCGACAAGTACACTAGAGGGCACTGCTGGCTTGGGAATGGACCCCAATACATGCCCCCCCCCAATATTGAAATAATACAAATTAAAGGAAGATTGCATTTAGCTTGAGCAGAAAAACAAGCAAGAAATAAAGAAAGAGCAAGCTTTGTTCCAGGTACCTTTACCTCCTCAATGAATGTGTTGATTTCTGGGGCTGCTTTGTTTGCCTTCTTCTTCAGATGCTTCTTTGCTTTGTTCACATCCTTCTCCACCTTCTTCCAGTCCACCTGCACGTAGCCACTGTGATTGGCAATCTGCAGAAACAGACAACAAAACAAAACTGATGAGCGTTACTTTGTCCTTCTTCATATTTGCCTCAGCTCTGCACTCTGAAGGACAGAATCCCTTTCTGGAAGCATGTGTCCACAGTAGGCCTCTGATATCATCTTAAAAAATTATTTTGTGTTCAGCCTGATAATCAAGTCATCTGGGTGTCTAACTTTACGGGTGTTTAATCTACTTGCAAAATGAAGAATGCTTTTAAGCGACAAAATAATGCTACTGACTGAGCTGAAGCACCCTGTAAGTGTCCAGATGGCCTGTGTCCATTTAGTGCCAGCTGACACACAATGCTCGCCTTTCTGTGGTGGAGAGGGGGGGACCAGCTGAGTGTCATGTCGTACAGCTGGCGTCTTCACTTGTCAATGGAGTTATGTTAATCTTACAAAGCACGTACTTCTCTATGACTCTTGATGGAGAATTGCTAAATATTTAACAACTAAGCCTAAACAATCACAGCATTACGGTGCTCTTACCTGTAAAAGAAGGAACCCGCCACCAATAGCAGTAGCTGCTATCTTCCCAACTCTCTGGAAGACATAACCTGCACACCTGTAAGTGTTAAGAGAAAGGGTGGGTTACTTCCTTTAAAATATTTAAAGGGGAATCAATTATGTCAGTTTTCCCTGGGCCTGATTCATACTTGAAAACAGTCATTATGTGTCTTTTCCTCATAGTAGCCATCCCTCAATACTTTCTCCATTTGAAGGAATGCATTATCAGGGACTGCAACATCTAGTCCTTTTACTGAATCATTACTAAGGCTTTGCAGTTCATCTATTGCCTATTTAAGCTTTTCACCCTTCATTTAAATCGAGCTACTTTTGACTGGCTACCCCATGTAAACAGAAAGGCGTCCGGGGCTCCTGTTCTCACAGATGACCATTATTATTATTGTTATTATTATTCGGGATGTCTGCTGTCACCAGTGGGCTTAAACTAGTAGTTGGAGGCTGGAACTTTTGGCTCACAGACACTGCTTATACAACGACCTCATTATCTCATTATGAATCTTTAACCGCAATTCTTCTTCTGCCACAGCGGATCAACTCTCTCCATCTCACCCTATCCCAAGCATCCTCGTTTGTCACACTAACCTTCTGCATGTCCTCCTTCACTACATCCATGAATCTCATTGTTCATGATCCACATGATCTAACTTGACAACCCAGCTCTTGGGAGCACATTGGCTTGTGGCTCCCACCACTCTTCAGTGTGAAAAAAGGGATACTGGACTTCTTAAGGCTTGTTATAATGTTTCACCACTCATCAAGTTCGAAAAACAAACTGTGGAGAGTCCCGGGTGTTTATGGTGCGTTCCAGGAACCTGAATTCAAGATGGTGCATCCCAGCGTGGGGGGGGAAAACAAAACAGATACACGATTACACAACGGGGCAGCACAGATTAAAAGTTTTATTACTCTTCAGTTCGGTGCTTCCATCTTGGATTGTTAACTCGGGTTTGGTGCGGCTGCTCTGAGTTCAGGGGGCGTCCCAGGTGAAAATGCCAACTAGGAACTTGGAAATCCCAACTTCCGGCTTAATCTGGAACGCTCCATTAAACCCCAGTGGGGGGTTGTCCCCTTTGGAGGTGGACATTAAGGTCGTTGCCCCACTATCGATCACACGAGTTATCAATTGTGGATCAACGACATCCGACTCCAGCCAAAGTGTAAAAAAAAAGGCACAGGTCAGTACAATGAAGGGTGAAACCACTATGAGACCTCATGTGGGGTCAAATACCCAGCTCTTTCCACCATTTGCCTTCTTATTTCCAAGCTCTAGAAAACTATGGCAAAGACGATTAAGAATCTACACAGTACCTGCCACTCTAACAGCATAAGTACATATTGTTTGGAAGTAAAGGCATACAGAGTTTCCTTTAATGTATACACTGAATCATTTTATTGGTTTAGCAATGGCAGCTCTACAAGTAAGCGGTGTGTTCTCACATTAATTATTTCTCTGCATATTAATGTCCCAAGTTCAAAATAGCCCAACATTTGTTACTGTGTTAAACACCAATTGGATCCACATATGTCCCAGTGAGAACACAGACCCTGAGTCCTTACCATCCAGTCACTCCTCCCATCATGAGCTGAGTGGCCACGGAGTACTTCTCAGCAATGGGGCCGGAATTGTTCCCAAACACTCTACTCCACCACTGGTGCCTCCGGGCATACTCAGTCAGGTCCACAACCTCATAAACCTCATCTTCGCTCTCTGGGTCGTCCTGGCCCGCTATGAAATTGGAGTGAAATACAAAGTTAAAGGGCTACAATGTGCATATGCTACACCTCGCTTACATTCGGGGTGTATTTTCTAACAGCTCAGGAACTGTTTGCACCCTGTGTGGTCCTATTAACAAAGCTTAATCTTCAAGTCCTCCTAACTGCAAAAGCACTCCAGCCTCCACAGGCTCCGAGGGTGCTTATTCTATGTAAATGAGTTTGGAAGCTAACATTAGCTGGCTAGCGTCAAATGGCTTCCAGCCTGGACGCGAAGGTTCTGCTACCGGAGACCAAAAAGCACGTATGAGCCACGATAAAGCCCTTGTACCTTTTCGATTATTGCTCATGGAGGAAAAAATAAACGAATTTAAATGCGAATTGTGATCGCACAACGGTAATTTCTAACAAACGAAACACCAACCTTCTCTCTCATCCGCCGTCGCCATTTTGGAGAAACTAGTTATGTCATCAGGATGTTGACAAAGATAAACCACGCCCACATTATGATGCCGCTGCCACGTCAGTTGAAATGCTTTCATTTTGCTTGATTGGGCTTCAAGCAGTTTAACAACTTTATTTGATAAAATGCAGCAACTCTGCAAGTCTGACTGTGAAGACGTCATAAAAATAAAGGTTGGGTGCATAAAGAGTCGCGTGGTTTGACAGGATTGGAAAAAGTTATGCTTCGCAGTCACTTTTTGAATAATCTATGAGCGAAAACTGACACCCATGTGTCAATATGTATTACTGAATATGCGATGATGTCTTAGCGTGTGAAAATTAGAGCATTTGTCGGGAAAATAGTGCTATGGTTCATGCACAAGAGAACCACGTAAAAAAATATGTATTTATTTTTTTAAAATATTTTATCAGGGAGGATTTTTTTTTTAAATTAGTGGTTTTGCAGAGCGAACACGAATATTTCAGATAAAAGAATAGTATAGCAG